CAATTTGAAAAGCCTTATTTACTGCTTTAAAATTTTGTGCCCCGTCAAACTCTTCAATCCATTTAATACAATATTTGACTTAATAATTAATAACCTTTTTTTTTTTAAAGATAACATTATGAAAAATAAATAATATTTAATTAAAACTAAATCCCCTTCCAATAATTTCGTTATTGAGCATTGGTGGAAAATGTATGGTGTTTTCACCCAAAAAAAAAAAAAATGTATGGTGCTCGTAGAGATGGGCAATTTTAGAGGGCAATGGATTTACTCAAACAAGCATGAACGTATGCTTGCGTATTTGTCCATAAGTCAAATTAAATATGTAATTATTGGAGACTCAAATGGTGGATATGCAAGCACGATAACTTATATGGTGGATATGCAAGCACGATAACTTATATGGTGGATATGCAAGCACGATAACTTATATGCTGTTATATTTCTAATGTTTTCTTTTTCTTGATGTTTGTTTTTTTTCTGTTTTGCATGATAATGTCTGTATTTTTTATATTTTATTGTTTTCTCTTAGCTTTCGGCTTTCCATGTATTGTTTTATTCTCTTCAATAAAAAAACAAGTTATCAGGTTGGCCAATAAAGATTAGTGCAATAGTAAAGTAAAGGATCATAAACAAAATCGTACTTTCAGTCAAAATGTGCCACCAGAATAATCAATGCCTTATCCTTATCGGCCACACTAATCTTTTACCAAAACGATCGTGAAGTACTCAATTGCTACCATAGACAAAAATGATCAATTTCTAAAATGATCTTGAAAACCAGCAAGCAAACATGATTATCCAACGTCATATTGGATAAAACAGCAAGCAAAAGTGATTCTTTTTTTTCTTTTTTTATGCTAGCAAAGTGATTTTTGTAGGTAACTAAAATAATATATTTATCCAATATGATAAATAAATAAAAAGCAAAGCTATTAAATTTTAAAACTAGATGTACGTCAAACCCAGGAAGAAAAATAAATATTTTGAAGAGACAATATCAACTTACTAGTCCTAGAGAGAGAAAGAAGTTGCAGTTTTGATTATTGAGGTTGAAGAGACTGTTTGAGAGAGTTTTTATGATGCGGCATATTTTAGAATTCCAAAGTTGTTGAAGAGACTGTTAAAGATGCTCTTAAGTAATAGCAAATAAAACTTTTCAAATTGAAGTTTGTTGACCTACATGGCAATTTGAAAAGTCTTATTTGCTACTTGAATAATTTTGGCTCCAATACACTCTTCACTTCAATTAATGCAATATCATAAAAAAGAATGAAAATTTTGAAAACATGTGAAATATGTCTATGTATTTAATATATGAAAATTTTAAAAAAAAGGTATGTTTTTAACATTTTCAAGGTAAGTTTTGTTTTTCCAAAGTAAAATTAAATGTTTGAAGAGCCAAAGTCAACTTACTGATGAGAAATCTGGAATTGTGTGTTTGGATGCTGAGAAAGTTAGCTCATAAAATTAGAAAGAAAAATAAATCTGGAATTTTTCTCCTATTTCATTCACTTGAATAATAATAATTGCAGTGATTTACTTTTATAGAAGATAGAAACTTAGATATAAATAATGATCTGTAACTAACATCTAACAACATATAATTACACCAAGATATGCATTGAGACTGGATTAGTACAAAAAAAGAATCCATTTTTAGGCCGCAGGGGGAACCACACATTACCTAAAGATGAAATGTAACATCATTCTCATTTTAGACAGGCCTAATATCACAAAACGTCTCTAAGGTTTACGAAACTATTAGATTGCATCCTGAATGTTTTTTTTTTTTTTTGTCATTCGTGGTCCTCAAGGTTAGTACGTGTGCTCACAAATAGTCCATACCGTTAGGTTCCGTAAAAAACTCCGTTAGTTTGCTGACGTGGCATATATATCTCAAAATATCCTTAAGGTTCACACACCTATCACAAACGGTCCCTATGAATTTTTTTGATTTTTTCATTTAAAATTCATAAAATTTTGGTTTTCTTTTTTAAATTTTATGAATTTTAAATTATTTAAAAATATATATTGTATTTTAAATACATGTGACACTATATTATTGGAGAGGTGGGCTCCACATATATGTCACATCAACAAACTAATGGAGTTTTTAAAAAACAATTTAAAATTCATAAATTTTAAAAATGAAAAAAACCAAGGGTTTAAGGTTCATAAATGGTCCTCAAGGTTAAAATCCTTCTATAAATGGTTTTTTCATTTTTAAATTTTATGAATTTTAAATTGTTTTTTTGAAAACTTCATTAGTTTGTTGATTTGCCATATATGTGGAGCCCACATCTCCAATAATATAGTGTCACGTGTATTTAAAATACAATATATTTTTAAATAATTTAAAAAAGAAAACCAAAATTTTATGAAATTTAAATGAAAAAAAAAAAATTCACATGGACCATTTGTGATAGGTGCGAGAACCTCAGGGATGTTTTGTGATATATATATATGACACGTCAACAAACTAACAGAGTTTTGAAATGAACCTAACGGCAGTGACCATTTGTGAGCACAGATACTAACCTTGAGGACCACGAATGACACAAAAAAAACATTAAGAATGCAATATGATAGTTTCGTAAATATTATGGATGTTTTGTGATATTAAGCCTTTTAGACGATAAAAATTATAATCGTAAATTTTTTTATTTCAGCAATACTATTTATAAAATTTAAATTCAAGCTCTCATATGGATCAAGTCATTATCCATCAAGTTCATAAAATCTCTTAGCTGATCCCATGTTAGAGACGCCATGCTGAGCTAAAGGATCCGTGGGGTCCAAATCTCATGCACCTGGGTTTCAAACCGCGTCCGTAACAGAAACTGTTTGGGCCTAAATTTCACACGCCAGCCCAATTGATTATTGGCCCATGTCAAAAGCAGGAGTTTGGGCTTTGTTTAAAGTCATAAATCAGCCCATATGGTTTTAGAGGCCTAGACCTTTGTAAAACAATTAGCAAGGATTAAAATTCACAGATGAAAGATTAATTGCCAGTAAATGGTGATTTAATCTGGACAAATCACTTTCTAATTGATTTTAGGATTAGGCCTAACTTCTAATCTCTCCAAAGAAAGGCAAAATTGGATAATCACCGTTAATCTCAATTCCAGAGTTCAAATCAACATATTTTTTGGGAAATATCTTTTTTCTCAAAGGCCCACGTGACTCTGAAAGTCAAAGTTTTCAACTGGGCAGAGGAAGTGATGGGGAGTTAAGAAAAAGAGGTTAACCAGAAGGACACTCTCCATGACCATTTAAAATGCCAGAAAAGAAGGGCGGCCAAGTTTCCTTTCTATGCTAATGAGAGCTCTGCATCAAAGCAGGTTGTATTTTCACAAAAAGGCAACAAGAAACAGGAGAGTTGTTTGCCAGAAAAGCCAAAAGGGCCATCATAGAAACTGACTGTTGATGGTTCTTTTTGCCAGATTAATAACTCCCCATTTTTGCGTTGAAAAAGGAAAATCCTTTTCAAAACATCTACCCTCCAGATATTAAAGAATAAACCCTCATTCAAATTCTCTATAAATATGAGAGGAGATGAACAGGGTTAAGGATTGCCAAAAATTCAATCAAAACAAAAACTTTCGAAGTCATACTGACAAAATTCAAAGTCGATCTCAAAAGCCTTCAGACTCTGAAGCAACCAAGCTCTTTGATTTATAAAAGACAGATAAGCCATAACTCAAGTTTCTGACTTCATATCAATTTAAAGAAGCAGTTCACAAAGTAAACGAGACTTCTCTCGTTACAAATTTAGTTCAACATAGGCCAAATCAAGCAAAACTAAGGTCTTTTATAATATGAAAACCTCAACAAATTTACAGAGATGCCTTGATCTATCAGAATTGCCAGAATAGCTCTTGGATGATTCATAATCAAGCAGAACATGTACTATAGTGTAGCTTCAGGTCATCAATCATCAATCCAGCCACTTCCAGCCTTGTCCAGACTGAAGAGATCTCAATTCTGCCTATCCAACAAGCCCCTCCATGGCTTAAACAAATGAAAACTCTGCCAATCTCAACATTGGTATCGATTTCCAGCTGAACCTCATCAGTTGAAGGTGCTGACGTTTGAATCCAGCATAGATACATTCAATCCAGCATGAGTCATAGACAACAATCTAAGCAGAAATCGAAGCCCAATGTTCTGTTGTCCTTTCAGACATGGCAGTTCCCTTTTGTTTTAAGTTGTGTAATAGGCAGTTCTTCTTAAAACAGTTTGATTTATTTTCAATATTCATTTTGGCCAGAACTACTAGTTTTTACTGTGAGAAATTATAAAGTCCTCACCAGTCTGAGGCAAGAAAAGAACTTACTTGGGAGATATTCATCACCCAAATTCACAATCACTTGTTTAAAGTCAGTAACTTAGGGCGCAAGTTATTTATTTTTCATAAGTCTGTTAGGGTTTTTAACTGTTAACAGCACGCTCGCACACCAAAGAAAGTTGACTTATTGACCACAAATGGTTCTCAAGCCAATAAGGAACTTTACCCTCCCATCACAGGATTAAATCACAACTGATGAACAGAAACGCAAAGTTTTTTTTTCTTCTATAAATTATTGTGTCCTCTCCACCCGCCCTCCCCAAATTTGGCTTAAAATAATCTAAAAATTGTCACTCTTTTGATTCATCATTGCATGAATTTCGATTCCTCAATTTTAAAATTCTGAGTAAATCTTTCTTGGATTCGACCAATTGGAGAAGACAAAGATGTTAATTTACAAGCGTGCACTAGCACATGTGCATAACATTAGGGCAACTACATGGAAGCTCACACCTCCTCTCAGGTTTTTTGGGCAAAGAGATTGTCATTAAAACAGAGGCAACAAAACATTACAGACACGGTCATTGCATAAATTCACATCTATAAATACTTATAACTGGATCACACAACATTTTCACCAATGTGTTTCATTGCTTCGAATTTCAAATACCAAAAAACAGTGAGCTCAAATTTAAAATACTGTGCATGCATGGGGGAACCCAACTCTAGCAATGCCTATGGGGCTGCCTCTCCCTCTTATAAAGGAGTCCGAAAGAGAAAATCGGGCAAATGGGTGTGCGAAATTCGCGTGCTGGGAACCAAAACCCGAATCTGGCTAGGCAGCTTCGAGACCCCAGAGATGGCAGCAGCAGCCTACGATGTTGCTGCATTACATTTTCGGGGACTTGAGGCGAGTCTCAACTTTCCACAACTTGTGAGTAGCATGCCTCGCCCCGCAAGCTCGAATGCAGAGGACATACGCATGGCAGCACATGAAGCAGCCTTGAGGCTGAGAAGTAGTCCCGCTGCTGAAGCTCATGAGACTGGGAGCTCCAGCTCGAACGTGGGGCCCATAACGGTGAGGCTTTCGCCGAATCAAATTCAAGCCATTAACGAGTCACCCTTGGACTCGCCCAAGATGTGGATGCAAATGTCTGAGTCTATGATGTTCTCTAGTGCCTTCGAGGATCAGTTGGAGGGTTTGCAAAATGATTCTCTTTGGGATCCTTCCGTAACGTCTACGTAAGGACCACAAACTCTTTCGCTACTTTTAAATCAGCTGTATAAGAGTGTTGTGTGATTTATTTTGTTCTCCCTTGTTTATATGTTTTTTTTTATGGATGAATCCAAGGTATCCCCCACACGTAGGCGAGGACTAATCCCTGGAGCCGGGTCGACCCCATTCGGGGGGAAGCTCTCCTAATGATGGCTGCTCCATCCACAAGGCTCGAACTCGAGACCTCGTTTAAGGGGAATAAACTCCTTACCACTTGAACCACCAAGCGATTGGTCCCTTGTGTATATGTTTGATGTAATGGAAATAAGTAATAATTTGTCATCCTTGTTAGAATAAGAGCGTATGTGCGATCTTACTTTCGATTGACTTTTGTAGAATAAGAGCATATATATATTGTTCTATGGTTCATGTGATGTGCTGTTGACTTTAGGATTGCATTTTGTAAAAATAAATTAAGTGAACACAGGACGGAGCCAGAAAAAAAATTCAATGGGGGCATCTCATTAAAGCTTCACAATGATCAACGGCCAAGAAAATTTCAGTAGTGGGTGAAACCAAATTTTTTTGCAGGTGCCGTTTCTAGTCACACCAAGTCAGTCAAAAATGGAAACAATGGCCAGATACACGACACCAAAGTTAGGCAACAATGGCAAAAAAATGAAGGTCTAGATATGAAGAACATGGAAAAAAAATAAAAATAAAACTAGAAGGGAAGAAGAGGAGTGTACATTTTCAATGGTTCTTGAGTGGAGAGAGAGAGATAGAGAGCTGAGAAAAAAAACAGCAACCATGTTCTTTCTCGCCCATGAATAAAACACACTCAAATTAAAACAAGCGTGACAACAAGATAAAAGAAATTTACACCTCCATAACATGTATTACTCACCCATGAATAAAACTCTATAAATCATTGCTTTAGAAAACCCAAGAAAAAAAATTAATACCTGGAATATATATATATATATATATAAATTCTCTTATGCGGACATCCGGACGTTATTATCGTGCGGACGCAGTGTATTTTGTACTACCTCTCTTTGTTTTCCTGCCTGTTTACAATAGCATCCGCACGATAATAACGTGCGGACATCCGGATAAGAGAATAACTGATATACAGTTTTGCTCACATCAGGATGACTGGATTTTAATTAAAATGTGGACACTAAAGGTGAAACGTCAGATCAATCCAATGGTTATGCAGCTTTGATATGTATTAATTGAAAAAACTTAAAACCACGCGCAGATCAACTCTTTGGTGTTTTTTTTAGTGCTGCTAAACGAACCCTAAAATTAACTAAGGCTTAGTTTGATATTGCTGTGCTTTTTAAAAAAAAACTGCTTCTGCTGTGCTGTGAAAATAAATAGCTGTGAAGTGAAGCAGCAAAGTGTTTGGTAATCTTGATTTTTAAAAATGCTGTGAGTATAAAAAGCAGTGTCATAGTGTTTGGTAAACTTTATTATAGAAGTGCTGTGAGAGTGTATAATGACAATAAAGGGCATGCTGAAATTTTTTTCAAAACCTAAAATTATCATAAGAAATTAAAAATGTATAATTTTTCTCCCTTTTGTTTCTTCCTTTCTTCTTCCTTCTCAGGCCCCATTTCTTCTTTTTTTTTTCTTTCTCCCTCCTCTCCTTTCTCTTTTCTTCTTCCTTCACGGGCCCAATATTTTTTTTCCTCTCCCTCTTCTCTCCTTTCTCCTTTCTTCTTCCTTCACAGCCCCCCCCCCCTTTTTTTTCTTCCAGA